AACAGGAGTTACTACCCCAAATTAAATGAAGATATGTTAGCTGCACACACTGCAATGATTAATATTAAAAAGATCTGGACAATAATAATAATTTAAAAAGCAGATAGAAGAAAACTAGACTTCTTCAGATTATGGTATTTCAGGTACTTTGGGCAGCAAAAATAACAAACAATGAAATGGCGAACTGGAACTATCACTGGAAGCTGCGAGTACCAAACTATGGATGCATTATTTTGATTCCTTAGAGAAATTGGATTATGAATGGTTGAAGCTGCTGAACAGAATGGGATAAAATATATGATCAAGTGAGATACTGGTTTAAATCTAGAAACTTTAAACAAAATTGAAAAACACTGCAACATTATCACGAGAGATCTAAATTTATAAAGTCTCTGAAAGTTGGATATAATTGAAGAGGTGAAGATAGGTGTATAATCATAAGTGTCTCTTGTTTTGTACTTCCATTCATGAAAATAAGTAAATAGATGTGACATGGAGATCTTACAACTAAATATGAGATTGCTATGTTTAAAAAAAATTATAATAATATTTCCAACATGTTTGGCTGGCATAATTTCATAGAGAGAAACAATAAAGCTAGGAGAATTATGTTTTTAGAAAGAATTGTGTAAACTAGTGTTTGCATTCAAAAAAATTATTCAAGAAATAATGCTATGACAGGAAAGCTTATACCAGTAATGGCGAACCTTTTAGAGACCGAGTGCCCAAACTGCAACCCAAAATCCACTTATGTATCATCGGGTGCCGGGTGGGCATAGCCCATTGGGTGGGTGTGGCCCGTTGGGTGAGCGTGGCTGCGGTGGTAATGGCAGACTGGGTGGAACTAAAAAGTTCAATCAATCAATTCCAACTTTGCAAGATCTCCCCCCCCCCCGCGATTGATTAAACCTTTTTTTTTTTTGCACATGGTGGCGGAGGCCTAAAGTGAAAAGGTTTTATAAAACCCAGCTGAAGGCCTAGGACTGCGGCGACGGTGCGCGTGCCCACAGAGAGGGCTCTGAGTGCTGCCTCTGGCACCCGTGCCATAGGTTCAACACAATGGCCTTATACTATGAAGCCTCAAAGATTAGCCAGGAGTGATGCATCTTCCATTATAGGGAACTGCCAAGCAAAAAAGAACCTCACATTATAGAAATGACAATCGCCCAGAGTATCTTCTATTAAAATATAGTAACTCCAATAAATTAAAAACTATTTTATGATTCACATCACCTTCAAAATTCAATTTAATTGCCAACTGTTACATAGAATTCAGAGCCAGAGATTCTCATTTTAGAATACAATTTTGTTAGTATCTCAAATAAAAGATCTAATGTGATCTAGTATCATAAGTATTATAGCAAAAATTGTGAAGATGAAAAAGAAGCAACATTCATATGCTATTAACATGATGGGCACTCTCCTAGAACTATTTTTCCTAGGTCCTTATATTTTTGGCCTTGACAATTAATGTATAGGCATTTTCACAATAGACAATGCAGTTTAGTGGATCTTAATACAAAACCAAGACAAGACAGATTTTTAAAAAAGAGATATGCAACTCACATTACAAGTGTTTCAATGCCTTTCAGAAGGACCGTAGTACAGTTAGAAATGCAACATAGGTATTATAGTTTACAATTCCTTAGCTTTTTGTTAGATGTTAGGATGAATGGGGACTATATGCCTAATAAAAATAAATACCCCATGTCACAATTGGTAAATGAAATGAAAGTTTGAAGATTTTTGTGACATCATGTCATATGCATAGCAAACATATTAAGCAAAGTTGTAAAGAAATTTTAATATTGCAGTTCAGACATTTTTAAGAAGAAGGCTAACTACAAATTAAAGAGAACAAACTCTTCCTCAGACTTCAGATGGAAAGACTGAGAGCTAAAGATAATGTAGTGCAGACATATGACATTGCGCCATGTATCGGAACCTTTTCCCCATTGCCAGCAATGGGGTGGGCACGGTTTCCTTGTGACACGTCTGGCCCACGGGCTGGCAGCTTGACACCCCTGATGTAGTGCATTAGATACATGTAAATAATAAAATATGATAGCAGAACAGAATGAAATAAAAATCATCTTTATACAAAGTAGTAGTATCAAATAAATTTAAATACAGGAACTGAAATTTAGTTGATAAAGATGTTAAGAAGAAAATATGAGCACTCAAAACATGTTCTTCTGCAAAATATATTCCCTGTATTTTCAACAGTTCTAAAGAAGATATTTATGTCAATTGGCACCAAATGCAACTGGAATACTGAACTTGCCATAACATTATCTGAGAAATTATTGTTTTTATATTTTGAAACAAGCATGCTAAATAGAAAAGGGTACTTCCATGTCAGACAAAGCATATTGTCTGTATTTTGGATCCAGTTTCTTTTCTTTGCTTTCATTTAATTCATTAGATAAAACAAATTTGTTCAAGACAGCTATTTTTAAATTTATTTTGATTTACAAAAATAGAAATGAAAAAGATACATAAATTATATATTGTATATATTAAACAGCGAACATTCTATATTTCATATGTTATAAAAGTAAATTACTAACATTTAAATTAGTTTATTTAACTTTGGGAAATATGGGATACTAAATATATAAATCAATATATGCTCTTCAAGTGTCTGAAACATTCCCATGGAAATTTCATCAATAAATACAAAAAAGGGGAAATAAGGTTTTTCTAGACTTTACATAAATGATTGGGAAAGATGAAGGGTCTGAGCTTGCTTGTTTTCTTGCAGACATTTCATTACCCAAACTAGGTAACATCATCAGTGTTAGTAAGGAGTGGGGTTTGCTCTCAGTTTATATTCTAGTGCCTTGCCTTGCCGGTGTTGGTGGGAGTGGTCTTAGAGATTCTTTGGTTGGGCTGTTTACTGTTTGCTTCTTTGGCAGTTTCTTGATTGGGGTTATTGTTTACTTGATTGTTGGTCTGATGTTGATCTTGGAGTTCATCTATGCTGATCTGGGTGCTGATTGCTGGTGGACAGATGCTTAGGTCTTTTTGTTCCCCTTTGGGCTGGTTGACTGTCTCTTTTGAATAGTCTTATAGATGTTGTTAATGTCTATGTGTCTACTGATGGCTAATTTGTCAGAGTGCCTGAGTGCCCACTCCTTACCAGCACTGATGATGTTACCTAGTTTGGGTATTGAAACGTCTGCAAGAAAACAAGCAAACACAGAGAACACAAAAGACCTTTCATTTCAACCCTGAGCTAAAAATGCTCTCCTTTATTATTGGGAAAGATGTCTTAATACTTTGCAACTCTAAAAATTGCAACAGCCACCTTTGTTGTCTTTTATTAGATTTGTATCCGGGCTTATACCTTGAAACACAAGATGATGTACATAGAGACAACATTTCCTCTTCCTTTTCTCCCCCACAAAGCAATGCCCCCAAAGTTATGATGAACTAATAAAAAGTTACCAAGCCCAAAATTAACCAGCAAGCTTCTATCACTGATTATAGACTTGAACCTGTGTTTCCCCAGTCTCAAACACTTTAAGTATCATCTGAAATGTTCCATTTTGAATAAATCTCCAACAATTAGCTAAATTTCCCGTTTTTTTTTCCCAGAAGTGTTTCTTCCAGATTAGCCTTCTATTGAGTTCTATGTTAACCTTTAATAGAAGTTTTAAGTGCTTCAATGATTGCAGTTACTATCTAACGAGTAAACCATATGGCCAAATGGAGTTAAAGATGCTTAGGCATCTTTCTGATGCAGTAATATATCCCAAAGCACTCCTTTATTGCAACCTAAGAAAAGATTTATCAACTCAGAACATCTTAAAGTTACTGATTTGTATTTTTTTAATTGTCTTTTGGCAGAAATGCAGCCATAAATATTGCCTTGTTACTTCCAGGATGAGCGCCAGCTAATACATGCTAGCCAGCAGAGAGCTCTATGGGATGCTTGAACCTGAAAAATTAGGAGACCTAGAGGATGGAGTTCTTAGCAGTAATCCCCTCGCTGTCGAACAATTTGACATCCCCCCACCCAAAGCTAATGTTCAGGAAGGCATGAACACCATGATAAAAAAATTCAGTTAAGCCAACTAGTGGCTTTGTGAGATGTTATTTGTTACTGTATTTTTACAGTAGAGTCCATGACTAAACAACATACAAATAATTTATAAATATCTAAATGAGAATATAAAGAATTGTCACAGTCTAAAAAAATATTTTCTCCTTTGTTTTCTCCTATATAAATGCACAATATTTCTTCAAGAAGCTAGGGACCCCAAATTTAGTATAAAATCAAAGTAGCAGATTTGTTTTACACATTTTTTTACAAGTCTAATTTCCAATTTCTAAACTAATAGCTTTGTAATAATTATGAACATCAAAACTGCAAATAATTTTGTAAATTATAAAGTACAATATACATAAACAGCTATCATTTTTGATGACACATACCCATTAATTACTTCATTTCAATTGCTTTACTCAATTACTTATTTAATCATACAAGTTTAGTATATTTATATACAAAACACAATCTTTGATGGATACAAGCCAATTAAAGAACCAACTATAATTTCAGTTGATTTTGTTAAAGGAAATTATTTTAAATTAATGTGGCTACTGAATAGTTGCCATACTTTACCTCAAAAATATATGCCATCTAATTTCTGCTGTGAACATTTGTTTATGTAAGCTAAACTCCAGGCCATGAATGTTGACCATGAAGGAGTCTCAGATTTCCTGCTACTAATTCATGCTGCCTCGTTCTAAACAAGGGCAAACATCATATGTTTGTTACATTAATGCATTCTGCCAAAACATCACTATTAAATGAAATCATTGCAATATTTTTGGTAGAAACCTTTAACAACTTCCATCCCTCACAGAAGCACAGAAGCGAAACAAGGCTGTTTTGTTTCCACAGAGTAACTGATGCTTGGTGTACTAGAGGTTGCTCAAAACGTTTTTCCATACATGTTTCTCAAAAAGAATGAACATTTAGTGTGGTTTACCTTTACCAGAGAATGAAGGCTTTTTTCACCAAACATATCCCAGAGGAAGGTCATGTCTTCTTGGTTGTCCACATGTGGCTGCAGCTGAGCTGGCAGTGAAGCCAGCAGCTCATACAGACCTATAAAGAATAAGTAGAACATAAAAGTGGAAATTAAAATTAATTTTATTAATTTCGTTTAGTAGTCTAATGTAAGTTTCTGCTTTATACCATTTTATACTGAGACAATAGAAGGTATGGATATACCTAATAAAACAATGAAGAGAATTTAATGTGTGTGTGTGTGTATGTGTGTGTGTGTGTGTGTGTGTGTGTGTGTGTGTGAGAGAGAGAGAGAGAGAGAGAGAGAGAGAGAGAGAGAGATTTGGATTAAAAGAGAAAGAAGCTACAGTAGTGGTGTGTATTCTCTTACTTTATTAACCGTGGCTAAAGTGTCTATGGGCGATATATTTATTTAACACTGAATCAAGAATTCATAAAACTTTTTGGAAAGGGACAAAACCCAGAAACACATGCATTCCTTTGCTTAATCGTTATTCCAGTTCCCTTGATGTTGGAATGAAATGAATCATGAACAGAAAAACATCCTTGTAAGTATAGAAAATGGATAGGGTGGTTCCTTGAAAAGAGTTTGCGGTTTCTCTGAATATTTCTGATACATTGCTTTTTAAAATCATCTTGGGTATAATAGATGCATGGATAAATAACTCCTGAAAAAAACCTTGTATATTTAATTTTTTATTGTTGCTATTGTCATTAAAAAGAGTGCACCTGCAGAACATTTCTCCAAACTCCTTCACAGAGATTAAAGCAGTGGCTGCCCTAGTTTGTATGGTCACGTCCCATGACAATTTCTTGAGACACACAGTAGCATATAGGTTCAATAACAGGGAGCATAATATTATCCTTCAAAAAGCTGTCCAAAGAATATAGCAATGTGATTTCCCGCCAAGACTTGGCCTATTTATAGCATGTTTATCCAGTGGAGAATTTTTATGGCTAAAAGATACAATACTTCCCTCTCATAATCAAAGGCGGCAAGCACTGATACCTTTTTGGCTAATCCAATATCAACAATTATTTTTCTTTCATTGTGGCCATCCTGAATATACTAAGATATTATGTCTATTAAACAAGTGTGATTTTTTTTTTATGATCAGACTAAGCACTATCCACCACAGGAATAGCTTTCCAAAAGAACCACCAAAAATACCTTTCCAAAATGATTGCCTATTAAATTATGTTGTATTACATTACATTGATTTTATTAAATTATACTGCCTATTAGGTTATAGTGAATGATCTATAGATGGGATCATTTCACCTTGAAGCCTGTAGTTTAAACTCTTGAGTCAACACCATTGCACAATTTTCTGCGGCACTCGATGATGGTTCTAAAATTAAATGCAGAATTTTTTGGAAGCAATGTATTGTTTTCTTGTCTTCCTGTTGTTATTTAATAAAATATGCTAGGGAAAAAATCCTTCCAGACATAATTTTCTATGGTCTTTTGTGAGGCAATGCTCATATTTCAAACTTTGATTTATTTTAAAGCTAATCTTCTTTATAGTAGCTTTTAAGCATAAAAATAGAATGCCCACATTGCTGTAGTTTTTCCTGAATATAACAAGCACTGAATCTACATCATGAACCTCTTCCAACAGCATTCACACTAAAAGATTATAGGTTCAGACTTCAGGTCAGCCAAGTCACTTACAGAAGCAAAGCACTAAGTGCAAAGTTTATGTAAGAGCTATAGGCAATGAGGTGCCTTCCATCTGTTTCACATTATAGTTTTTGTAAGGCTTACTCAGCATGGCAATTGAAAAATACTGGGAAGTACTAGATGGCTAAACCTATATCTTGCACATGGATGCTACGGTACTTAAATATTTCAAAGTGAGAGGGAATCACATTTGTCTGAAGTATATGCTGCGGCTTGCACTTCCTGCAACAGTTTCTAACACAGCAAGAACTTAGCAAAAGGAAATATAGTATTGGATTGCTTTTTTACAACAGTAAATAATCCCTGCAGACAAAGAATTCTTCCTACCTCATCAGCTTAAAAGGATTTTCAGATAGGTATTAAATCTAAAGTGGCGCCAACTTACTTATGATCTTCCCTTGATTCCTTCCTTACCTACTTGACATTTTATTTTTTAAAAGGTCATTCTATTTTTAAAAAGGGAAGCTAAGAATCAGCAAAGCAAAGGGCCAAACTTCAGGAGGAGAAGTTTAAAGAATACCTTTGGGACCCAACTGTTAGAAAATAAAAATGAAGGGCAGCTGCAGCCCAGGTTTGTTGGCATTATACCCATTATACCCATGAAAGAAAAAAAAAATCAGAAATAATAAGATCCTGCATAATGGGGTGGCAGGAACTATTTTGTTAACTGCTGCTTGTACCAGGCCATATTTGTCGCGGCAGCCATTTGTGCAAGATCAAGTCTTCTCAGTTCTTTGAAAATTATAAAAGATTAGAAAAGGTAAGCATCAAGAGGGCATATTTCATGCTGTTAGAACCAGAAAACAGGAGATTCTTTTTCAAAGCTTTGCAAACATACTGCCATTGTTCAGAAGCAGAATGAATAAACAATACGTTTTAGAGCACATTCAATATCCTGCGGTTAGCACTGCACAGATAGTAGTAAACTTGTTCATCATTATGATGTCTTCAGTGAGGAAATAAGAGGCTCTCCATAGGAGGGAAAAAAGGAAGCTCTGAAGCCACTGCTGTGTTCTGTACATTTGTATTTGCCTGAGTCCGAAAGGAGAAGGGCGGGATATAAATACAATTAATAAATAAATAAAAAACTGTTGCGGATTTCTAGTTTGGTAAAGTTAGAAATTCCTAGTCTCGTTTATAGGTCTAGAGTTTTAAAGTTCTCTAAGGAGTAGTAGTACCTGTTAAAGTAATTTAAGTTTCTCTCTAGCATTGTTCTTTCCCTTGTGATCAGATCATGTTAGTAACATCACAGAATCTTTTTCAGAACACTGGTAATAAAATCCACCAAAATGTTTGAGAATGCGTTGTTACACAGAAGACATACGTATGGCATATTTTGCATTATTAAACCTTAGTTTCAAGCGTTCACTCCAGTTTGAAGATTTCTGCCGTGAATTATCTAAAATGCATTAAAGAAGTAATTATGATTATTCAAAGAATCATAGAATATTAGAGTTGGAAGAGTTGTCGTAGGTCATCTAGTTCACCCTACATTCAATGGACAAGTCAACTAAACCATACATGACAGCCATCCAACCTCCATTTGAAGACCTCCTGCAGGGGAGTCTATTCTTGCTGTGGACCGTCCCACTGTTCAATAGCTTCTACCACATGGAAACTTCCTTCCTTTTATATCCATTTTTTCTTGCCTGCTTTCAGTTTCAATACATGTATGCTCCAACACTTTTTCTTTTGCAGACTAGATATGTCCATCGTTCTTGAATCCTTATTATTATGCATATTTCTTATGCAGACTTAACATCATCTCTGAACCTTCTTCAGGATCTATATATCCGTTTCAAAGTCCAGTGCCCAGAACTGAACTTTGTATACCATGTTTGGTGTAATCAATTCAGATTAACAAAGAACAAGTATCTCTCATGATTCAGAAACAGTATTTTTAATGCAGACCACGAGTGAATTTGCTCGCTTGCTCATGTTCAGCAAGTGCTTTGCTACTTTCCTTATATACTATTCACATGAAGTTCCTCCAATCATAGACATTAAATCTGCAGGACTTCACTTTTATCACAACTGAACATCTTGCTAGAACTGACCCCAATGTTCATCTGTCCTCGATTTGACATCATTTACTAATGTTACAAGCATTCCATTCATTTCATATTCTTTATAAAAATCCTGAATAAAGTTGGATCAAGATTTCCATATTCAAGGGTATTAGACTTTTTCACAGGCATTTGACACCTTCACATACAAAGCCACTCCTCTTTTTTGTGGATATAGTCCTTTTTAACAAGTACGGTTTGGGTACATGGCAAATGGATGAACTGGATATGCTACACTTGAATGTATGCATGGTAGCAGATACAGGGAAGGAAGGTCCTGTGAAAATCAGGAAGCTGGTTTATTCATGTTATGATAACTCAACATTATTCAGAACCAACAAGGTAGGGAAGACATATAAGAACTGGCTTCTGGAATTTTTTCCCAATCTTTCCATCAGCAACAGTAATAGAAAGTATCTGTAATTACTGCTGTGTTGCTGTGTAATAGATAGATAACCTTTATTGTCATTTTTTACTGTGGGCACAATGGCACACATTAAAAATGAAATTTAATTGCTGTATGAATGAAATAGCACTTTATGTTTGTAAGCATGCATATACTGCTTTCCAAGGGTGTCTGAATCTGTGCGCAACAGGAAGCACAAAGTGGCTGTGTATGCTCAGCTCCAGGTCATGTGGCCAGGGAATTTATCTTAGAATGGGAGTGAACAGTATTTTGAACTGCTGGTCAATTGCCTCTCCCATAAGGATGGTATTTTTTTAAATCCACATCCCTGATAAGATCTGGCCCATTTTTCAAACTCAATCTTTCTTTCTCCAGCTTCTTCCATCATATCAAATTTGACATAATTCTGTTCAGTCTTCATAGTTACCCTGCTATTGGACTGTTAATCCCCTTTAACACACTTTTCAACATTTGGTTGACTTGGAAAAATGAGACTTGTATTCATAGTAGTCTTAGGATTTTCTGTATTTTCAATTCATTTATGGTCCAGAAGCTAGTTTATGTATTACATCAAAATGTAGCTACTCAAATCTGGAAAGCACATTTCAAATTTTTAAATATCCATTTTTGTTTTTAGAAATCTAAACAATCAACTACCTGAAATATCCTCAGTCATCACACCATAAATCAGAACTTATGCAAAGTATATACATTCTTAGTGAGGCAGTTTTATATAGACATATTAGCTTTTATTAAGTTGAACTAAAAATAAACAAAATGAACTTTTTGGATTAGCACCCAATATCTATGATGGATATTATTTTGAATTATTTGAATCTTGCTTTAAGTAATATTAAGCTTGCTCTTGATTATATATTTTATCAAGTCTTCAATATATAAACTATTTAACAAACCACATTTCATTGTTGCTTATAATTATGCCATTGAGACATAGTTTGACAGCTTTCTTAAGGAGTGTAATCCAATAATGGAACATTTTAAGTTTGATATTACTGTATTTAGCTAGAAGTATTTTCTAACTTAATTTGTCACAGAAAAGACACTATATGAGAATGGCTTTTTTCATTAATTACATCTGAAACTGAAACAAATATTTGATTGCTTATTAACAGCAATTTATACTGCCCATTTGAACAGATGCTGAGTGGCTCATATAAAACATTTGGAGTATGTATATATATAATCATTAAATAAATAAACATAAGCATCTAGAATTACTGTTTATTTAAGAAGTGAACTATAGGATCTTTGAATTTTTTTAGAACTGATTCAGCAATTTAAGCCACAAAATCCAGTTCATTGATAGAACTGTAACAGCAAAAGAATAATTACATGGTATGTTATCTGCGCTCACTATAATATCGTTTTTCTAAGTCTCAGGAAGTTTGCCTCAACAAGACATATAGCTTTTAGAAATAGTTTCTTTAATACAGGAACTTGCTGGGGACAGGATGAGGGTTCAAAGAACAAAACAATAGAACGGTAAACATTACCTATATTACATTTAAACTACCCATTTCCTGAATGATTTTACTGAATACATGGACAGCCTTATTTGGAGACATATAATAAAATAGTTTTTACAAATACTGGAAAATGATCAACGCAAAATATATTTTCCAATTTTAGAAACTAGTTTCTGTTACTGCAATTTTCTGTTTAAGATTGAAAGTTCTTAGGAAAAGAATAAATGGCTAAAAAAAAATGGGGAAAGTGCTCACGTGGTAAACTACTCAAGAGTCCAGATGCTCAACATTCTTGACATCAGAATGGAAAATTTTACTATTAGTCTAGAGAAATTTAATATCACCATTTTTGTCATATCCTTCATAGCTTCATTATTAGAACAAGTCTGTGGAAGCTATAAAATAGACTTAAACGATAAAAAAATATGGTCATTTTGTTCCATCCCTTTTATGTATTACAATCATGTCTGGAGGATTTTAAATCAACACAATGACAAGCGGTTATCTCCCTTTATTTGTTAATTACCTTATCAGATTTTTGAATCATGCCAGGCTAATGCTTCAACATTACTGTAATTTGTGGTAATGAACTCAAAGAATATATCACTAAGCCCACTGGATGTTTAATGAATTAATAGATCAAAACATATTAACATGTAAATTTGGTATTTTCACAAAGATTAATTAAAATTCAATTAATAATTTCTATTTCAGAAACTTTTAAGATGACTCCTATTATTCAGGATGCTGTGCAATCTAAATATGAAACATTAACTGGAAAGAAATCGGAAAATTCTGAGGTCAATTGACCCCACATTACTTTGCCTAGAGGCTATAATTTTATTTTCTAAAATTCACAAATATTTTAAACTGTACTATTCACAAATGTTTTGAACTGTATTATTGAATTGTAAGTGATAATCATGCGACTTTATTCATAATGCTTTAATTACAGAACAACCACCCGTTAAGGAAGAAGGTAATAGCAAACCATCTCTATATTGTTCCTAGCAGAACAATAAGGAAGCTACAAAAGCATCCAACAAATTTTGAATTCAAAGTACCTCAAATCTGAAATGCCCCAATTTGAATGTTAAAATGGCTGTTCTGAGCATTGATTTTTACCATTCTGAAAAAGTTTTGAGCTCCAAATAGTTCAAAATTTAAATGCATTGCACATGCTTAATGAACGTTTTCATGAAACCACTCAAAAATGTTGCTTCAAGCAGATTTTTTCTCTCTAAAAATACAGGGCTTAAAAAAATTACTTGAGTTAGGCAAGTGATTTACAAAGTTCAAATTACAGCATGACTTAGGCTTATACAGCGTTATAATCAGCCGATTTTCCTTAAATTTTTAGTTAATTTCAAATTCATTAATATAACTGGTAGAAAAAAATCATACCAAACTGTTTCATTTATGAGTATTGGTTTCTTATACATAAAACTTAATGTAATAAAGCAAAAGAGATCCACATATGGGAGATTATTTCTACAGGAACTTGATATACAGCTGAGCCTATCTAAGTATAGATGCAGATCCCTACCCACATTCATGTTTACCATGAGATATTGGATATATAGATAACTACACAGGACTTAATAACTAGTAGTTAACAGTTACTAAATTAATAACAGTTAATAATGTACAGAAAACCAGAAACCCTACCTGCATCTCCACTAGATCCAGTTGATAAAGCTGGCATGCTTAAGAATTTCAGTTGGAAGGTTGTAACGTCACTTCAATTGTTGACAGACACCTTCCTCAATAAGGTTTAGACAAGTACCCTGAAAGCATATAAGTGTGGATAAGTTAGATTACTAAAAACTGCAAGTGACTAAACGATAGAAATTTGAAATACATTTCTTTAAGCCATTACAAGATATCATTATAGAAACCTAAAATAACACATGCATTATTCTTACAAAGTTTCATTTACTCATGTCTGTGTATGAATGTGGTATGTCTAGGGACATGCAAGGAAATCTTGATTTAGTATCACCGTAAACTTGATTCAGTATCACCATAAACAACCGCCTGTTATAATCTGTACATTTTCAAAATTAGCTTGTTTTTTTGGCAAGTTATTTAAGAAAAAGCCCCTTGAATTCAGATATTATAATTAGTTCTATCACTTTCTAAAAGGGCTCTTAGGAAAAAAAATTGTACAATCACCTTGTTCCATTCTCAGTTATGTAGGATATTACACATAGCATGGGCATTGGAAAGCACCAAGCAACATATTGGTGGGCCAAGTCAGAAGCAATTACTATAACAGTACCATCAGACTAAAATATTAATATACTTCTAAAATGTAGTTTAAACTGATTGAAATCTTCTAAGTAGAATAATCACAGAGTTAAGAATGAAGCCAAAAGTATGAACTTTTTTTGGCATGTCAACAAAAACTATGAATATATATATCCCCAAGCTAACTCTAGCATTATATGTTCTCAGTTGGGAGAATTTAGCCACGTTCATATTGTATTACTTAAATTATTAGCTTTAAAGCATTATTTTATGAATGATACATCTTACTTGTTTTATACTGTTTCCAAACAAAGTGCAAATATATAATTTTGAATTTTGCTAAATAATTAGTTTCAGCACCTGAATACTCTTTTCTAACAACTTTTAAAATAGTTAGGACTTATTTCATAGAAGAGAACTGTTTATAAAACAGAAGTTAAAACATTTTCAATCTGAGTTTTTTTAAAAAATAGGAATACGGAATAGTCAAGAGGCAGATGCCCTATGTTATGGATTATTAAGTATATTTTCTTGTGTGTACATAATTCTGCACTGAATTATGGCTGTTACGCACAACTCCATTTATGCAACCTTGTATAAATATCTCTACAGATTAAGTTTTTAAAAGTTACCTGAAATCAGGCCAAGGACAGAGAGTACAAGCATTGCAAAGCATCAATTCACTTTTCCTGGTATAAATGTAACACGCACATAGCAAAGCCAAAAAAATAAAATTTAAAACTTGGACCCAAAATTATAGAGTTATTAAGGAATCAAAATGCTAATTGAAGCCAAACAGCTTTTCATTATTTCTCACTGGATTGTTCATTAACTTGTTAGCTGTCTTTGGGTTCTTTGCAAAGTTAATAAAATTTATTTAAAAATGAAAGTTTACAAATTTAGTCTACAAATTTAGAAAATAACTATTAAGAATAGATACCATTTACCATTTTTATTCTGATTAAAAACTTTAATATTTACTTTCAGAATGTCTTATTTTAAAGAGTCGTGTGGTGTACAGCAATGTATATGCAGTACAGTAAAAGTAAATGACCTGCTGAAATCATTACCAGTAAAAAGCTTAAAATGAAATAAATATTTTTCTCATAACTTAAGTTACATTTTTTATTGAAGCTTCCTATGGTGAAACTGGTTTAAAAATGCTTTGTTATTTTGCAGCAGAATACAGCTTATAAGTATTGCTAACTACTGCATAGAACAGATTTGTTACAACACAGAAATACCAGCTGTTATAGTATGTTCTAAGAGGGATTATCAAATATTCTTCAACTGAAGTTCAATATGTTTTTCCATAAAAACACAGCCAAAAACCAGGAATGTAAAAGGAATATCAACTGCACCTGAGGCATTTACAGTGCCCAATAGGACTGTTAAAACCAGACATTTAAAGGGCTTTAAAAAAACCCAGAAAGAAATCTCATTATTCCAGTTATATCTTGTTTCTATATCACACTGTATCAGATTCTTCTGGCAGCTACCATGTGGAAACAGTGAAATATGTGTAGTTCAACAGAATGTTGAATTTCCACCAGGCCCTTAGTAACCTCTCAGGCTCCTGTAGTACCTATGCCATCTAGTGGTTAAGGGGGCTAGTGCAACATCTTCTTATAAAACAATAGTATTGAGGGCAATGACTGCTACCTGTTGCTCAGTGGAGGAATCCAAATCAAAGCATCTAGATTATTCGGATACTACCTGAATACATCCGGAAAAACAGTTTATTAGCACCTTTAATATATGATATATCAGCTCTAAATATTGAATGCAGGTAGTCCTTGACTTAGTCTTTTGTTTAATTACTATTCAAAGTTACAAAGGCACTGAAAAAAGTGACTTGTTACTGTTTTTCACACTTACATCCATAGTCATGTGATCAAAATTTAATCCTTGGCAACTGGCTCATATTTATGAAGGTCCCGGGTCATCTGATCACCTTTGTGACCTTTTGATAAGCAAAGTTAATGGGAAAGAAAGAATTCACTTTATAAACATGTTACTAACTTAACAACTGCAGTGATCCACTTAGCAACTGTGGCAAGAAAGGTCATAAAAGGGGGCAAAATTCACTTAACAACTGTCTTAATTAGTAAAGGAAATTTTGGGCTCAGTTGTGGTCGGAACTCAAGGACTATCTATAGTTCCCCCCCCCCCAAAAAAATATTCAACAAGAATCTGCTTCCTTTGAACTTGGATCATTACTCTGCATCCTTCCCTCTGGGATAATAAAGAGTAGGCTGCTGCTTTCTAGCAGACTTGAAAAGTGCCACCATATCTTTCCTCAGTCAACTTTATTCAGGATATCCCATTTTTAATTTTGGGATTATGTTGTCATTAAGTTGTTCTAACTTCTAATAATATATAGATTTTCTGCCAGACAATCCATTCTTAACTTTTTCTTTCAGGCCCTCCAACTGTGGATTCCTTACTGCTGGCCCTCTTTTTTGTCTCTTGCCTTCCTTATGTTTCCAAGTATTACGGCCTTCTCCAGAGAGCCAGGTCTTCATATAATGTGCCGATAGCGGATAATTTGAGTGAGACCTCAGGGCTGACTTGTTTAACTCATTGGTTTGTTTTCTTATCTTGGTATATCGTCCAACACCAATGTTTAAAAAGCATCAATATTCTTCCTATCCTGCTTCTTCAAAATTCAAATTTGCTTCAATAAAGTGTCACAGGGCTTTACTGCATAATTAAACATGTATCTAATAGTTTGCAAGTTGGATGAATATATACAGTAAATGTATTAAATAAATTAACTAGCAGAAATTTTACTACAGTGAAAACATTACAGCTGAGACCATTTAAATGTTACAATTCCCTTACCATCACCACCACCATTACTGCCAAATTAAAACGAACTTTTTAAAATCCAATCTTTCTTTTTCATCAAACAAAGAAAACTTATACCTACTTCTATTAATAGCAGAAACTTAAATTACCTCACCCAAACACCCACTCTATTTTCCCCCTTTTCTACTACCTTATTAAATTCTGGACAGATGGTTTTCTTCTAACACCAACGCATGTCAGAACTTATTTACAAAAAGGGATAAAACATTAATTTTAGAATACTTAAGAGGTATTGAAAGTGCTCATCCAATACACTGAACAGTCCTAAAGAGGGGAGCCCCACAGATAATGCCCATTCCTGTACCCCTTCTCCTTGTTTTTAATGATAGTGACCTCTGGTCCTGCAGAGTGGTAGGCGAATCATGAGAACAGTCCACAGGGTACCCTATTCTAGGTGAGGCCACCATTGTTACACCATTTGACCCAGGGTGCAAATACCTAGGTAGGTGTCATCTGAATGGTACTTAACTCTGCATTAGCAGAGTGCTGGTATCTGGGTCTTATCATGCACATGTTAAAGAGGACTTGAGAAAAAAAAATGAGCCCTGGAAATCCTATAATGGAGTGCTCAGCAGCCCAACTTCTCTCATCCTGCTCCACAAATTGCTATTAATATTTTTACCTGCTTTAGACAGCACTGATGCTTGTTTACGGAAGGAAATTCAAATTAATAACCAAATGCAATTTGGAGGGTACCACCCTTCAACAAATGCAAATTTGTAGTGCATATGACGGTTGTCAGCCTGGACTAAAATAAAATCAAGGATATTCCAATTTTCCCTTTCAAAATCCAAATGCTAGAAAGCATTATTTCACAAAGTCAACTCAATTTTCAAGAATCTTGAAAAATAGTTATTCTTAAACTTTTGCTCACGCGTCCATAGACTATTAATGAATCATTACATGTGGAAAATATGAAGCTATTCTCTGCTAGAAATTTCAAATAACTAGGGAAACAATGTCAGCATAATTAATTTAGCCAGTAATTCAAATCCATTTTAATAACTTTGAAAGTTCTTTCCATATTACACACCGGGTTACAGAAAAAAATATTAACTTTTACCAGGAGAGGGAGCTCATACTTCATAAATTGCACAATTTCATAAGTGTATTTCCCAATGTATTGAAGAACTATTTCTCAACTCTTTGATACATTAAATTTATTACCTTTTTAGAAATATATGAAGACATCCTTACTTCCAATGAACAATATAAATAATAATATAAATAAGTTTGCTCCAAAGCAAACTTCTGATTGCTGCAGAAGCTAGTAACTCTGACTGCAATACTGTTATATTTGTAAATAATGACTAAATATTATGACTATACTGTAGTTGACTTCTAGTTTTATTTTTTACTTCAATACTAGAATACTGTCAATTTGCAATTCAATTCAGAAATTCTTTTACAGTTGATCAAACAATAAAACAATTATGGCAGCAAAAAAAGGGGGGGGGGTATATTCGCCAACAGGGGATGGGATGGTGGTGGTTATTGTTTATTGTTGGTATAGTGGGTTTTTCCTTTTGCAAGCTGCCCAGTGACTGACAGTGAGTGGGTAGCCATACACTCAATAATAAAGGCTCAATAATCTCCTACAACATAAAAAGATACAGAGAATTCTGTCTTACTATGTATGTTTGATAGGGTCATTCATTC